TAAAAACGTCAGTCGTCGCGTGATACTGATTAACTATATGAAATGATATAAATATATAAATTTCTGCCCCCATATCTTGAATTTTGTGATCATTCTAAATGCATTTTAGTAAACTGAATCATGCAGTGAAAGAACGCGCACTGGTCTAAACTAACGTTACTAGACTTCCTGCCTTAGCTAAACTTTAGCTAACTTAGGCTACATGGTAGCTCTCATGAGTCATGGATGTTAGCAAGACAAATTAACTATTTTGCCTTTTTGGATAATTAGCTGTAAATTCGAGGCACAGGTTAGTATGTTGTTCATCATCACTCACCTCCACATCAAGACAAACACAACTGGAAAGAGAAGGAGGGCTTCACTTCTGCGGATCTCTGCCTGTCTGTGATGTGCAGATTAATGTGTGCTACACTGCTGCAGTGTTAATTTTGACAGCAAATTTTGATTTAGTTTTAGTCATACTCTTTTGACTAAAATGCCATTTAATTTGACATAATTTAGTAATCTGAATTGTTTTAGTTTAATTTGAGTTCATTTTAATAGCATTTTAGTCAACTAAATCTATATAGTAGATTTAGTCGACTAAAATCTAGTGAATTTAGTGTAATGCACTAAATAAGAATTTCTTTAAACTTTCCAAACGTATAGGCCTATATTCCTGGAGAAAACATCTATTAATCTGTTAATATGAATGATAAGGTTTGAACATGCAATGCTTTATGTATCCCCCAATTGTAAGTCGCTTTGGATAAAAGCGGCTGCAAAATGACTAAATGTAAATGTAAATTTAGATTAATCTTTAGGCTGCTAATATTAGGCTGCTATGTGCTATCCCTTTAAAACCGAATGCACAGCTGCAATGGATGCAATGTCCTGATACACGTTCTCCCTACTGTTTAAGTTCACTTAAGACATAATCAACTGTGTTTACGGGAATACTTGTCAAAACTGACAATTTGACATCATTTTGTGTGTAATTCTCCGTTCATGCAACGCGAAAGAGTACTCGCGCGCTGTGTGAGGGGCACTTTCTGTGTGTGTATGCTTCAGTGTCTGCGCTCTGAAAACCGGACCGAATTGAGTTCTCTCTTGCGTCGTCAGATTTATCTATATGTCTGCTCTTCTCTTACTCCAACATATTGACATTTTTGAACGTTTTATGCGACGTGCAGCAAGTGTATTTTAGCTTATGTCCCGTTGGTTCATGTACGTATCTAACCTCCTAACCACGCAGCAGATTCGTTCTGAAATTGGTGGCTCATTTTATATGAAGTATTTAGCAGTATCTGATCTTAATTTTAACCATGTAAAGTAACTATTGCAAATTTGATCTACCAAAGATAATTGTCAGAGAAAAAAACATTATAAATAAAAATTGCAGAAGCAAAACTTGATATCGGTTCTCATCCATTCCCCTCACAGATCACATTCAGTAACAGCAACATTATTACACGAACATCGAAACAATTGTTCACACAAAAACACAAAATCACTCAGGTCTGAATGAACTGACCTCAAAGTTTTCAGCGTAAGCCTGTGTGCAAAGGCTGTCTAATTCTAAATTTTAAAATACATTTATTTTTAGTTGTTTTAACTACAAATTTAAATAAAACTGAAAAAATAATTAAAAGGCAATTATACATTTACACACCTAAAATACATATATCAAGAGCATGCTCACAGATGAGAACAAAACAGTGTTGGATGAAGTGGATTAAAGCCCTGCACAGGTCTCAAATATAGGCCCTATAGCCCGTCTTTTTTCCCCTGTTCCCCAAAAAAGCTTATACTACTGTTTCAGCTATTAAAATAGTTCACTTTTGTATGTAATGGAAAAGTGATTATATTTCGTTTCGTTTTTTTATAAAGTAAATGTAGAAAAACATTTGGAGTATTTTTTTGTTCGTTAAATGTAAGTTATTTTGTTTTTTTTAAGTAAAGGCCAGCGGCAGAGAGTGAAT